GCTGATTTCCAGTTTCATTGCACTATGGTGAGATAGTATGGATGGTATGATTTCAGTTCCTTTACATTTACTTAAACATGTTTTGTCAGCTAATATATGATCTGTTTTGGAGAATGTCCCATATGCAGCTAAGAAGGTGTGTTCTGGTGTTTTGGGATAGAATACTCTGTAGACATCTACCAAGTTCATTTGTTCACAGGCTTGTTTTAATTCTAATATTTCTTTGTTGATGTTTTTGTCTAGTTGATCTGTGCATTTATGATAGTGGGGTATTAAAATCCCCCACTATAATTGTGTTAGTGCTTATTTTTTTTTTATGTCATTTAAGATTTGTTTTATGTAGTTGGGTAAGCCTGTGTTTGGTGCATAAGTATTTGATTATTATCTCCTCTTCTTGGCGGTTTTCCTTAACTAATATGTAGTGACCTTTTCTATCTCTTTTGATCAGTTTGGGCTTAAAGTTTGCACTGTCTACAGATAGAATAGCTACCTCTGCTTTTTTCTGGATTCTTGTGGCATGGAGAATTGTTTTCCATCCTTTGACATTTAGTCTGACTTTCCTTTTGGGTTAAATGTGTTTCTTGAATGCAGCATATTGTTGGATCTTGCTTCTCGATCCATTCTACTGGTCTGTTTCTTTTGATTGGTGAGTTGAGACCGTTTATGTTGATGGTTATAACTGATACATTGGCTGTTCTGTTCCATGTTGTTTCCCTATTGTTTTCTCCCCTGTCTTTTTGAGCTATTTAACTGGTTGCCCTGCCTGATGGCTGCTTTCTATTTGCGTTACTGTGTATGTGGTCTTCATTATCTCTTTCTAATATGTTTTTCAGAGCATTCTGTAGAGCTGGTTGGTGGTCATAAATTTCTTCAGTTGCTCCTTGTCATGGAAGTATCTCATTTTTCCATCAATCTTGAAGGATAATTTTGCTGGATACAGCAGTCTGGGTTCAAGATTGTTTTCCTTTAGGACTAGAAGTACTTCACTCCAAGCTCTCCTTGACTTAAGGGTTTGTATTGAGAAGTCTGCTATGATTCTGATGGACTTTTCTTCATAGGTGGTTTCTTTTCTGTAGCTTCTTTCGGTGTTTTGTTCTCATGCTGAATTTCTGAAATCTTGATTATTATATGCTTTGGTGTGGGTTTTGTTTTGGTCATGCCTATTTGGAGTTTATTAGCCACTTTTGGGAAGTTTTCTGCCATTATTTGTGTGAAGAGGTTTTTAATGGTTTTTGTGCTGTCTCCAGCTTTCTCACTGATTCCAGTCATTCATGTGTTATTCTTTGCTTTATCCTGTACCTGTTGGATTGATTTTTATTTTTTATTCTTTTTATTTTTTATTTTTTTGGTGGTCTCTTGTGACTTTTAAGATACCTTTCTTTTCCTGTTTGCTAGTCAGGTTCCAGTCTTCCAGGTCTGATATTCTATCCTCCCCTTCATTTGATCTGCTGTCTATACTTTCAGTGGAGTTTCTAATCTCCTTCATTTCTGTTTGGATCTGATTCATTGATTCCATTTCTTGTCTATGTTTTTCATTCATGATTTCCATTGTTTTCCTGAGCTGCTCTATTTGTTTATGTGTGTCTGCTTTAATGTCTTTTATTTTCATAGTGATTTCTTTTTGCACCTTTGAGATTAATTTTTCTGTGGCCTCTTTCATTTGTTTTTTCACTTCTCCTGTTATCATTTCAGAGACTTCCATTTCATGGCTTCTGATTCTTCTATCTGTTTGTGTTCTGGCGTTGTTCTGGGTCAGCTGGTTATTTGGGATTGTATTTTGCTTCTCTGTCTTGTCATTTTCTGTTTTCTGCTTTATTTTGTTTTCTATGTTGGTGCTTTTAGCCTTCTAATATTTAGGTAGCCGTAATCACTTGTGTTGAGGCTTCCTAGGAGGTGTCTGTTCCTCCAGATGTCTCTTCTTGCTAGTACCGCAGTCTTGGTGCAAAGAACAGGCTCAAGGTGCAGGCTTATACTCTTTCCACTGGCACGGCCTCCCCGCTTCCCCCTAGAACTGCTGTTCTGGAGAATGGAGGGGGCACAGGGTGCGCACTTACTCTCCTTTCACTGTTGATGTCAACCCAGAGCAATCTGTGCCAATTAATTTCTACCTGGACTGGTTTAAGAGACTCCTGGAGAGATGACTGGATCCTGGGGGCGTGGTGCTCATCAGTGCATGAACCCGCTGACACTGATAACTGAAGAGCTGTTGGAGCTGGGTCACTGTGGCTGTGCCTTTGGAGGACACCACTAGATCTTTTAGTGGTGTTGCCCTCCTTTCTGCTTGCTGGACACTATGAAGTACATGAGCAGCTTTACTATACCGCTCCCTTCTACCATGATGTTTCTGTTTTGGAGCCAGCTAACTGTGGACTGAAATCTCTGAAACTTTAAGTTATGGGTGTTGGGTTATTATTTATTTTTCTTGTATTGAGAAAGCTAATACAGTACAGTTAAGAATCACTGAGTAGAAAGGACTGACCTAATATTTAGGTTCCTGAAACCTTGTCATATGAAATAAGCCAGTATATTCCCTTTGAAAGTTTTCCTGTCCTACCACACGTGGTGGTACAACCCTGTAATCTCAGCACTTGGGAGGCTGAGGCAGGAAGATCTCCATTAGCTCAAGGCCAGCCTGGGCTAGACAGTGAGTTCAAGGCCATCCTGAACTACATAGAAAGACCCAGTTTCACTGCCCCCCACAAAAAAAGCAAGTTTTGCCCCACTTCATTTCTGATGTTTAAAAGAAAGAGGTATAGCCAGATGTGATGGCATGCATCTATAATACCAGCACAGTGGGAGGCTGAGGCAGAAGGATCACAAAATCAAGCCCAGCCTGGAGAATTTAGCAAAACACACACACACAAAGGCATGAATTTATTGTATGTACAAAGAATTGAATTTGTGTTGCATGGTAATTTGTCAAGTACCTTTTGGTTAAGGTGCTGTGGAGGTGCCTTTAAAAAAGTTTTGAGCAAAATGATGTGGTTGAAACTTGGTAGTGGGTCAGGGATATAGCTCAGTGAGTTCGATTTCTGGTACGAGACAGACTGGATGGGATTACAGTGCTGTTGGAAAGAATGTCGAATGCAGAATTCTCTGAGTTCAGTAGGGGCTTCCAGACAGATTGTCACACAGAGAACAGCATTATCGATACAGCTGACCTGACCTGCGTGCTTGTGCTTCTGCCCTGCTCACTAGAGTCAGAGAGGGCAGGGTGTCTTCCTGGCCCAGCCGGTCTTCCATAGCAGCCTTCCGAGAGGCTGCCATTATGATCTCCATGTCATAGATTCAGTGTTAATACCTTTCTGCAGGGAAACTAGCCTCGTTGTTTGGGGCAGCTGGTATACATTTATATTTTGTCTGAGCTCAGAGCTTCTCATATACCACTGAGCTGAACCCTTAGCCCTGGAAAGTCTTGGAGCATGGGGAATATAAAGAGATTCAGTACCAAGGGGTCCTGTCTTCACACTCTTACCAGCTCAGAAACATTTTTTTAAAAAGAACCTTTTTAGTTTCTGAGTTGAGCAGTCACACTGCTTGGCTTTTACCATAGCCAATTGGAACTCTTTGCCTGGTCTGTTACTCCTGAAGGGACCGTGGCGGCTTCGCAGGCAGGTGTCTCTCTTCACAGGTAGAGAGATGCAGCCAGTTCGCTGCTTGAAGGTTCAAGCAGGTGCTAATACATAAGCGCTCCTGTGCATGCTGCTGTCACGTCAAATTCAGAGCACTTTGATATTTAGAATTACTATGCTACATCTTGTTAGATAGTATACTCATATTTTCCCTGATAGTGCTCATTGCAGAAAGAAGTTGCTTCTCTTTGTAAAAGCAAAGTATCTAATTACTTGGCAAAATACCCTTAATTTTCTCCATGAACATTTTTTGACTTTTACATATATAACTAATTTTCCTTTCCCTTCCCCCCTTTCCTTTTCCCCTCCCCTCCCCTTTCTTTCCCTCCCCTCCCCTCTCTTCCCCTCCCCTCCTCTCACCTCCCTTCCCTTCACCTCCCCTTACCTCCCCAACCCTCTTTTGACAGGGTCTCACTATGTAACCTAGGCTGTCCTCAAACTTGTGATGATCCCACTGCCTCAGTTCTCCCAAGTGCTGGGATTACATGCGTGAAGTACCATGCCTGGCTAACTACCATATATTTCACGTCAGTGTGGTACATACCTCTTTTTTAAATGATTCTGAAATTTTCTTTAATCTTTGCTTATTAGTAAGAAATAAGATTTCTCATCAAGCATAAGGTAATTTTATCTAGATCAACAGTAGAGCTCAAGAATAACCATCTAACAAATAGCAGTTTATTGTATGGAAGGCACATTTAGGCACTAATCAAAATCTAGTTATGAGACTGCCAAAGTCTAGCCTAGAAAGAATCTAAGTTACTATCATGCCATCCTAAATATTTTCTGTAAAGAACCTGCTTTCAAATTTTACATATTTAGGCATGGCGGCACACCTGTAGTTACAGGTGCTCATAAGGCTCCGGTGGCAGTATTGCTGGAGTCCAGGTGCTTGAGAGCAACCTGGGCAACAGAGTGAGACCTTATCTCTTTAAAACTTTTTTGAATACAGTATTGTTGTGTATAGAGTAGCTGCTTCTGTTCTACCTTCGTTACATAGACTCTGATTTTGTGTGTGTGTGGCTTCTAAGCCATGGACTCAATTTTGAACTGTGTATTCATATGAACTGCATAGCCTTAATTGTATGAGCAAATGTGAGGCTTTTGTCCTACTTCACAATTTGTGCCACTCATTATTGAAACTTTTACCTATTTGTTCAGGATGTGCTGTGTTTAAAATAAAACAACCTGTCCTGTATAAACTTTATTATATTTATCTTCTTTAGAATCTGACAAAATAGAATGTCCACATAGATAGTCTAATACATAAAGCTTCAGTGAGGGGCGTTCTTTGTTTTGTAAGTTCATCAGCTGTCAGACTGTGCTGGTTTCACATTCACAAGCTTTTGTGTTTGGGCATTGCACTAGGCCTCAGACGTTCCACAGCTATCTGGAGGACATCATCAACTACCGCTGGGAGCTGGAGGAGGGGAAGCCCAATCCTCTGAGGGAAGCCAGTTTCCAGGACCTGCCCCTGCGCACCCGGGTGGAGATCCTACACCGCCTCTGTGACTACCGGCTGGATGCAGATGATGTCTTCGATCTTCTCAAGGTGTTTCACTGTGACCCCTTCTCTAGAGCAGTATGTACCCACAGTCAGGGATGTGTCAGAATGGGAAATCCAAAGATACTGAGAAAGGCCTGAGTTTGCCTTTGAGTTCTTCATTGACAGTGGCACTTTATACAGCCATGACCAGAGAACCAAGGGAATACAAGACATACCGTGCCAGGTGTGGTGGTGCACGCCTGTAATCCCAGCACTTGGGAGGCTGAGACAGGAGGATCACTGACAGTTCAGACCCAGCCTGGGCTACATAGCGAGTTCAAGGCAAGTCTGAACTTTAGTGAGACGCTGTCTCAAAACAAAACAAAACAAAATTATATACATCTGTAGCAGTGTGTTATTTGAGTTTGCTTTCTAGTTGGTTTTGTGTATCCTTCCATGCGCTCAGTCCCAGCGGACACAGGAATAAATAAGCAGAGACGCCTATTTGTACTCCTATTGTCACATAAAACTACAACTAAACTAGCCACTGAATTGTATTTCCCAAGGCGTATATTTGATTGAGCGTACTTGAAATACTTGTTGAAAACTCCACAGATTTGAAACCATATATGCTAGTAAAGTTAATCTTCTATACAGATTTCATAAAACATGTTGATTAGAGATATGGAAATCCCCTTTCTCCCTCTCATTCTGATACCTGTTTTAGAAGCATGTTGCAGAAAGAAGGTATGGGTTTGTGCTTTCATAAATAGGAAGGTCATATTCTAACCATGTTCAATCATAAATGGTTAAATGTCGGTCCAGCTCCACACAGATGCATTATAACACATCATTGTGTACTTTAGTATAGTCCTTGCTAAGGACTTTAGTAGTGGTAGGAAGGCCAATACAGGTCAGGCCCTGGGGTAACTTGGAAGCTGCATTGCTGGATCTCCACTGGAATAAAAGGTTGCTATGAGTGATGACAGGGTCAAATAGAGAGAGCCACACAAGACCAAGCCTTCCCAACATCTGATTCCACTTGGTTGTAATTGTCCCCTTTCTTTCGTGGGTACACATGTGAAGTAGTGCTATATCAAGTATGTGAAATGTACATCAGAATTCCTTTTGGTTTGTCTTACGGTGAAATAGAGTAGCAGTGGAGTAGGGAAATACTGACTTGGTTCTCTTGTGGAAAGTATTTGAGTCATCATTGTACTTTTTTCATGTTTTATTTTGTTTCTCGTTTCCTAATCCCCTTTTCCCTGCTGTTCCTAGGGTCTGGATGCAGACAGTCTCCGCGTGGAACCTCTGGGTGAAGACAATTCTGGGGCCCTCTACTGGTATTTCTATGGAACACGAATGTACAAAGAGGACCCTGTACAAGGGCGATCCAATGGAGAACTCTCCTTGAGCAGGTAACGTCTGCAGTGTCAGGGATAATTGCTACTATAGAAAGTATCATTAAAATTAAATGAACTAGAATCCTACAGCACAATATATATTTTTCTTAATGAAGGAATTAACTGTGCTGACATGCCTGCAAAGAAACAGTAAGGAGTTACAGGGTTTTTGGGGGGTTTTGGGGGGGGGGGGGTTTTCTTGTACCGGGAATCGAACTCATGACCTTATGCCTGCCAGGCAGGCGCTGTGCCGCTGAGCTAAATCCCCAGCCCCGGAGTTACAGTATTTCATAGAAAAATAAAAGGAATCACTTTGTCTAGCCTCTGCCACAAGGCCATGGTGAAATAGTCTTCTTTTATGAAATGTCAAGAGATTCCTGAGGCACAGTGCTACCTTACCACCAACTATTTCACACACCTTTCCAGCAGCACAAGCATTTGACTGGATAACAGTTTTCATCTTTCACAGGAAACCCTTCGTTCCTTTTTCCTACTGGAATTGGTAATCTGCTTTATGAACCTTAGGATCACCAGTTTAAAGCCAGAAAACTTTAAATGATGCCAGAAACGTGTCTTGTTAGGTGCTTCCTAAGTGAGGAAGAGGCCTCGTGTCCTAGCGTCCGAGAACGATGCTTACCTCCCGATGTTTCTAGATTTCCTTGGTGCTAGGAGCAGTCCTCACTATTAGTGTTAGATCTTACTGTTTCTTTTCTAGTCATACTTTAATATCATAAAATGTCAGTTTTCCTTGTTGGTACATTACATTCCTTGTCTATGCATTACCCTGCTCTTTATGTGTGCCTCCTACATTTAATCCTCTTTGGTCACTTCTTGGCCAGAAACAATATGTTTAATTACTAATATAAGTCATATGGAACTCATCAATCCTGTGTGAGAATGTTTAAGTTTAATGACACTATTTCTTAGGGAAAGTGAAGGACAAAAGAATGTCTCAAATGTTCCTGGAAAAACAGGAAAAAGAAGAGGAAGACCCCCCAAACGGAAGAAACTACAGGAGGAGATAACAAAGTAAGAAAGCCATGTTAATCTATGGTCTTAGGTCCTTATGCTTATAATTCACTGTTACAGTTTCACTGTTCCTTCCATGTGATTTTCCCTTGTGACATGGGAAGGACGTTTGTATGTTTCTTAGGTTGTGGGTACATTAGTCAGGGTCATTGCAAAATTGTCTTGTGTTCCCTAAGGGGCTAAGAAGGATTGGTTGCAAGATGTCTGACAAGTTATCTACCATTCCTTCACAGTTCTGTTATTGGTGGTAGTGATATGCTTAATGAGCATTATAAAGTGACCAAGGCAGTGGTCAGGATTGTAAAAAGTGAAAACCATGTTTGACCCATAGTAAATGTTCAATGAACATTTGTTATACTTCATATTTTAAAGTTTGTTAGACCTCACATATTTTTACAGGAAGGAGGAACAAGTAAATCCATTATTGTTGAAGATTGAAATTTTTAAATTTTTGCATGAAATTCATATATGTTACCTACAAAAATTTAAGGAACAAGAATTTGAAGAAGAAAACATCACATTATGTTCTGTTGTTATGGGCATTCCAAAAACGGATCACTGTGCATTGAAGGGTTAATTATGTGGTCAAAAGTTGTCTAAATAGCATTTTAATAGAACTATATGTCATACCATAGCTGAGTCTAGGTGTTAATTCTTTGCCAAAGGAAAATTTTGTTTCACTAGTCATGCCCAAACATGCTTTATTTTGTGTAGAATGCAATTCCTTACCATAAAGAAAAGGGTAAACATGTTAATATTTTTTTTGGTACCAGGAATTGAACTCGGGACCTTGCGCTTGCCACTCAGGCACCGTGTTGCTGAGCTCCGTAAAATATTTTCTTGTATTCTCTTTCACTGGGGAAATTTTCTTGTATACATCATTACCTTTTAGGAGAGTCCATCATCTGAATCTTGAGTATTACAATCTGACCTATACTGTGTGAATGTTCTTTTTACTTAAGGATCAGATCTGTCATTATAAACCTACGGTAGTAAAGCATGTTCTTAAAATTTCTACTAATGAAAGAGCTTCTTACTGCTTAGATTAGGCCAACTTTGTTGATGCTTTTTAACCACAAAGAAATATTCCTAGGAAATCAGATTATGAGTAGATCAGTTAGAATTTCATTTAACTTAGTACTTAACTTTGCACAGATTCAACTAGATTGCAGCTGCCTCTTCCTTAGCAGTGTGTTTGTGAGAAATGTCCTATAATCACTTGAGTTCTATATAGGCAACATCTGTTTTTGAATTTTGTTAGTGGTCCACATGTCCGTTTCTATTTGGAAAGCTGTTTTATATCTATTCCATTTCTCTGTGTCAACAGCTGGAGAATCTGCATGTGGAATATAGAATCACTACCATGCACAGATAGACCTGTGCTACCCTCTGCTGGCGGTTTAATACCTTTAGAGCTGGGTCTATGGAACAATATTGAAATATTTGTAAACTAAATGAAATTTATTTCAAATGTAAGTGTTCATTTAATTAAAAAACATTTAGTACACTATCCACATTGCAAGTGCCCAGTGGTCATCCATAGCTTAGGTCTTCCTAATCAGAGAGTCACTGATACATAACATTTCATTTCAGAGATGTAACAAACATTGTACTGCATTAAATATTTGAAAACAATCAAGGCCACAGGGTGTTCCCTTTTTACTTTAGGGATATAGTTGACAAAGACAGTATTATTTAACACTGTTGATCATTTTATAATTTAATCCCAATATCCCTGTGAGCTAGGATCTTTATTTATTTATTCATTCATTCATTTATTTATTTACTTATTGTTTTGTGAGACAGGGTCTTGCTCTGTAGTTGAGGCTGACCTTGAACTCATGGCAATCCTCCTGCCTCAGCCTCCCAAGTGCTGGGATCATAAGCTTGTGCCACCACTCCCGGCCCTAGGAATTTTTTAATAGTCCCATTTATAGTAAAGGTAATTAAATTTATGAAATCACACCGTCAGTGGCAAGTCTGGAACAGAGGCATTCCAATTTCAATACCCATATTTGTGGCCTCTCCCTTAAGTAAATAAAATAAGCGTATCCCTAGGTGTATCCCTGAGTCAGAGAGGTGGGCACTGAGACCCTTGGCTGTTTTTTCTTGGCTTTTTTTTTTTTTCTTGGTTTTTCTCCGGTCCCGGGAACCGAACTCACGACCTTGCGCTTGCCAGGCAGGCGCTTTTGCCACTGAGCTAAATCCCCAGCCCCATGAATAAAATTTTTAATTCAGTTTTGCTCTTTGAAATGTTTATAATATGTTGCATGACTTTTTTTTTTTACCTTTTGCTAAGTCAAGCACATAGATAAATTTA